AAGGAGAGGCAGTGGGGTAGCCCTCTATGTTATAGAGAGTGTTTTGATTGTCTAGAGCTTAATGATGGTGATGACAGGATTGACTTTATGTGTAAGAGTCAGTGGGAAGGCCAACAAGGCAGGTGGGAGCAATGTTTACTCCTCTCTGCTAAAACTAGAGCAATAATCTGTCACTATTCCCTTTATAGTCCTCCTCTCAGACAGCTTCCAGCAGGTTTGTGGCCTGTTGCGGAGAAAGGAAATGCAGCCCAGACTCCTGTGCCAAGCTCTGAAGGAGAAAGACCTCTGGGGTAATGCTCTTCAACCAGTTACCCTCCAGCTCACTTAATAGATTGAGAGGTATTTATGGTTTAAGTGTGGTAGATAAAGCTGCAGTTAAGTGGCAGCCATCAGGTGAGGCCTGTCCTGTGCAGCTATGGCAGAAATAACTCTCAGTTCATGAACTGAGACTGATTACAGGATCTGTGCCTATAGTTTGACCCCAAAGTCATCAACCTACCAGGCATGTGAACACCTTCAAGCAGGATTTTCCAAGTGAGAAGCATCAGGCAATTCTCACTGCAGGTTCCTTGGAAATTTGGGTACATTCTCTGTAGTACCTCTGCAATCTCTCAGCTCACACACACCTTCTGAATAAAGAAACCAGTCACCCATTAATCAAGGTTTATACCTCAGCCACTTATCCTGGCTCTTCATTAACTTCTCTCAGCTCTCTCCACCCCTGCCTACTAACACGTCCCATTTATGCATCTAGCCAGAACTCTTCCAAACAGTTCCACCATGAATAGAGCAGGCTAGATAGTTATTTCCAGCAACAAGTGACTATTTTCTGGGGTCCTGAAAATCCTGCCATTAAGAGTTGTCAAAGATGAAACCCTCCTGTGATGCAATGTTGGGGACTCTCTTCCCAATGCCACCACAGATCTTTTGCCCAGCTCTCATACAAGTCACCTCAGGTCCTCATACCAGCACTTGCTGTCTCACTGTGACCTGCCCAGGTCTATGCAGTCTGTCCCTCACACTGTTCTCTTAATTAGAAACTAATAACTTCCTGCAGCACTTCATTCAGCACAGAAAGGTATTTTTCAGTTCTAGAAGAGCAGATACTTGAAAGAGCAACTTTTGAAATAGAGTGGTGAAAATAATATAGCAAATAAAAGGGGAATTCAGTGTCAAGCAATAAATAATACGTTTGTGGAGTAAAGGCACAGAGTGTTTGTTCATTATGGAGCAAGAAGAAGGGAAATGCCTCATGGCAGATCTGGAAGGCATATGGGTTGTACCTTATTTTCTTTCCTCAGTGCTATGAAAGGGTACAAAGTAAAATGCAGTGTACACAGCAGCAGTTAGCCCTTTCAGTACAATGTTGTCCTTTAGAGGAGCAGGGCTTAAGATTTTATGTTTGCCTTTCTTCTTTAAACACAGCTGACAAGGAGTTCTTTAGTGTTTTTACTTTAAAAAGGATTTTAAATGGATCTGTCTTTCTATCATTTTCTAGTACTATGATTTACCCTGGTAAACCACATGACTCATAGAAGGGTAAATTTGCTTTTGGCACTGTTTGGCAAACAAATGTTTTCTGTACGCCCCGGCCTGCACAACTGAAATGAATGTATTAATTGAAATGTAAGGGTAATAATCCCAAAGCGCTTGTTTGAGAAACCCTGTTTTACTTCTGGAGTGCTATATGGTTGCCTAAGCTATGAAGTCAAGTGTTGGCTTAAAGCTCAAGCATCCTGCAGCCTTTGGTTCATGGAATTTAGCACAAGGTTACTGCTGCTTAACATGAAAGCAAGTAATGCAACCCCCTTCAAGATTCTCAGGAGTAAGCAAAAGTAGTGAATGCTGTAGGCATTTCATATGCAAGTTTCATACCTCACTCTTGGGCAGTACCAGCAGATGAAATAACATGTCAACAGACTTCAGACTCTCACTTGATGCCCTTAGCAAAACACCATCCTGGTTTACACTGTTGTACAGATCCCTCAGCTAGCAATTCCTCACTGCTGAATCTTTCTTCCTAGGCTGAGTACACACCAGCAGGTCAGCAATGCATCTCAGGAAGGCAGGAGCATTGCTTGGATGAAATATCTTCCCTGTTCTGCCATACTTGAGAGCCTTCACTTCAGAAATAGCTCAAACAGCCCGAATGACAGTCTTGATTCACAAGCAAAGGAATTGACATTGGTGTTACTGCAATGGGGTAACTGCACTCTACAGCTATGCTTACAAGATTCCCACACCTAAACAAGCCCCAGCAGTGTTAGCACATCTCCCAGGTCACAGGAAAGATGCATGTTCAGCAGGAACAAGAAATCCTGCAATCCTGCATGAGCTTCTTTGACTGCCCTTCCTCGAGGTCGCATCTTGCAGAAGAAAAATTGGCCTGGTGGGAAGACAAGGAGGAAAATAACATTCTTGCCCTCTGCTCTGAGAGGAAAGACCACAAGCAGTATGTGGCTCACATCACAGGGGCTGGCAGAGGAAGATGAGAGCAAAAGAGATTTCCAAAGCTTCTACAAAAACAGACTCCAGAGAGATGAACTAAGCAAAGCCAACACCAGCAGTTCTGCAGCAAGGCAGAACATAGTGCTTTCATGAAGAGTCCCCCTGAAGTTGTCTCCCACCTGGCCAAACTCTTTGGCCCAATGTCTGATCACAGTTCTGGATGCACATTGAGTGTATGCACAGGGAATGGTACAAATCATCTCTGACCCTTTCATCCATCAAGACCAGTTGCAGCAAGTCCAGAGGAGGGCCACAAAGATGGTCGGAGGGCTGGAGCACTTCCCGTATGAAGACAGGCTGAGAGAGCTGGTGTTGTTCAGCCTGGAGAAGAGAAGGCTCTGGGGAAAACTCACAGCAGCTTTCCAGTATCTGAAGGGGGCCTACAAAAAAAAGCAGGAGAGGGACTTGTCACAAGGGCATGTAGCGACAGGACAAGGGGGAATGGCTTAAAACTAGAAGAGGGTAGATGTAGATGAGATATTAGGGAGTTCTCCCCTGTGAGGGTGGTGAGGCACTGGCACAGGTTGCCCAGAGAAGCTGTGGCTGCCCCATCCCTGGCAGTGTTCAAGGTCAGGTTGGATAGGGCTTTGAGCAACCTGGTCTAGTGGAAAGGTATCCCTGCCCATGGCAGGGGGTTGGAACCAGGTGATCTTGATGATCTTAAGGTCCTTTCCAACCCTAACTATTCTACGATTTTATGATTCTATGATCTTTAAGGTCCCTTCCAACCCAAGTTGAATGGTGAGAAACTGGGTTCAACATATTGAACACCTTTTAGAAGTCTGGGAGGACAAACAAACAAAAAAACCAAACCCTACTTCACAACCAGAAACTGGCTGCTATTTGCACACAAAAATATAACTTATTTTTCTCCCCTGGGAAGGGCTGCTTCTGTGCTTAAGACCCAGACAGACAGGAAAAGTCCTTGCCAGGACATCAGTTTTCCTCATTTGCTGGGAGCAGAGAAAGGAGACTGCTGTGCAACCTTTACTAGCAGTCTCACCCTCAGCTGAAAGAACCTACAGCTTGCTCGGTGCCTTTGTTATAAATTTGTTTTGGTTGGGAAAGGGGGCAAATGCTAGTGCCATGATGTGAGCATATTCTAATGCAGCCGTCAATTCTGCCTTCTCTTGTGAAGTGCAGACAAGGCATTAATGCTGTCTAGAAGAATTTGGAGGCAGGGGGTGAAGGCATGCCTCTCTGCATGCTACCAAGAAGATAGTGAAAGCATTTTGAAGTTCAGAAACCACTGTCATACCCCAGAGACGCCCCTGACAAGTCAAGAGAAACAGAGCCATTCCTGACAACCGCTTTTCTGGAAGTACAAAGAGCGAAAGTTACTGAGCTCTTCAAAAAATAAGTAAATGTGCTCTATTTCCAAGGTTTCCTTCAGACTGACTCTCCTGGCAAGCAGAAAAGATCCCAAAGCCAAGTAACTTTACTCAAGCTCTAGCTCATCTTGCAAGTTGCATGCTAGAAGGATTACGTTATGGCTTACTGCAGCCCTAGCCTGAGCCTGGCTAAAACTTCACACCTCAAACACGTGGCATAAACTCTTTGCATATTCCTTTAACTCACAGTTTTCTCACAAACTTGCTTAGCTATTTCCTGACTACTCCCATGGGTTGTTTCTTTTCTTGCAGTTCAGGTCTTTCTTTGGAACATGAAGTGTCTCAGAAAATTCACATGGAGGAACTGGTTATGAGTAGAAAGACACCTATATACCTGAATGCTCAGGAGGCAAATTCCATGCACGATAGCAGGTTTTGTGTCTTATCAGGACAAGCACAGGGCCTCAGCAATGTTATGTTTCAGCTACTCAAGACAACAAGCAGGTTTAAAAAACAAACTAAAATGACCTCTGAAAGCACAACTGGTCAGTTTAAATCTAGATTAATGATCTCCAGTGCAGAGATCAATCCTTTGTTTTCTGTTTGCATCATCCACATGGTGGTCTGGCTCTAAGCACTACCCCAGTATAGAGAGAAACAGAAATATTTTAAAGAAGGCAAAGCTAGTCAAACTCATGAAATATTATATTTTCAATCTACAACTGTGGATTGGTCGTGCTTTGGTTTACCAGCTGCTTTTCTCTAAAAGTTTGTTCAGTGAAGTCCAGAAAGAAGCTGATTTTACCCTGGATGAGGTCTGTTGACCTTTGCAGCACAAAGCTGCAACATTAGGCTGCAGATGAACATGCTTCTGGCAATAAGCATTCCAGAGCTATTAAACAACTTTGGATATCAGCCTTCCTGATAAATGCATTGGGAGCAGTAAAGTAAGGCCATGCAGCATGCACCCGTTTATGATACCTGCCAAAATTCCTCAGCCCTTAAAAGCAATATAACAGAAATTATGTTGATGATTAAAAACACATACCGCTGACAGTGGCAAAGTTATTTAATCATATTTTGGAGGGAATCAGAGTTTTAACCAGGGGTCTGTCTCATGCACCATCTGGAGAGGTGTGCAGGGAAACCCGGCACAGTGCAGAACTGTTTGAATTGGCAGAATGGTAAGTAAAGTGAAAGACTTTTTTCCTCCTTTGTTCATCTGTCTCATTGACCCTTTCTTTCAGAGAAGAATTCAAAAACAACTTGGATCTATGAAGAAATATCTGGAACAAAGAAATCCTGCAAGTGAAAAGAAGTCCTACAACTGGGAAAGACCAAAAAACAGCCAGTGTAACCACAGTGCTGGATTTTCTATGGAGATAACCACTGTCGACAAAGCTCCTGTGTTCCTTCGATTAACATACTGTAGGTGGAAGCCAAAAACACTGGATAATGGTAAGTTTCACTTTCTACAAAGTCAAAAGCTGTTTTGATAGAAGCATAACTGCATTTCTTTTCTGTTCAGCAAGAAAATACTCTTTCTTATAGGTTGACTGAACACCCACGTTGTTCAGAAGTCAGGCAGAGCACTCCTTCTTAGGCTTGGTCACAACCAGTCTTAGTGCCAAAGCTAGCAAAAGCTGGTATCCTGGGTAGGGATAACGCTGTAAGTCTTGGCAGTAAATGCATCTTCACTAAACACACTGCCAGGAAGATTTTCTCCAGTGATGAAGAGGGAGGCTTAACTCTAGTAAATGATGTTTCAGAGACTGGTACAGCACAACGAGGTACAGAATCCATGTAAAAAGATGTAAGCAACTTTGTCCATCTCTCCATTCAGGAAGCACTTTTGAAGACTGTGCTGATCATTTCTCATATTTAAAGGAAATTTCTTCATGTCAACAGGAAGAATTCGGCATCTTCTATAAACAACTTAAGACATTTTAGGAGGCCTTGTACCCCACAATTTTAAAACCTTCACGAGTTTCCCATTTCATGCTCCCTGTTTGCTGGGCCACCACACCATAGTTCCCATGCCATGTTGCCATGTGGGCAGCACTACAGGTAAGGCAACTAGTAGGCTCAGGGCAAAGACAGTAAAAGATAAGGAGATAAGAATGCTAGTAACCTGCATATTTATGAAGTATTTCTTCTTTCTATCAGCCTAATATGCAAATGTATAGGCATGTCTGTGCATTACGATGCACCTATTCTCCAGCGTTTGAAATCTAGATGGCCCTTGAGGCAAGAGTCACATCATGCAGAACAAAGCACATGTCAACACTAACTCCATGCCATAATGAACATTTTATCAGTAATGAGACCAAATTGCGGCTGAACAACAAGCTTAATTTTGCTCCTTAGCTTTCCCCCCCAAAGAATAGTCTTAGAACCTACATCCTTACACAAGTGATAGAAAAGATATTACATTTACGGTGTAATTAAGTAAATCATGTCAGCCTCCCAGAAATGAACCCATTTCTAAATATCCTGGAGTCTTCTTATCTTGCATATACCACTTGAACACTTGTTTAAGGTGCTGCCAGGGTGCCTGTCATCAGTAGGACAAGGTTGCCAGTAGAAACTTTGCATCAAAAGCCTGCAGACAGGCTTGCTTATCTACCTCTTCATCTCCAGCACCGTATTCACCCTTGAGAAAACTATTTTAAAAGAAAACCACAGCACAGTTTTGAAAGAGGCCTGCATTAAAGAAATCGAGTGAACTTGGAATCAATGATTTCATAAGCAACATAAAAGGAGATTTCTTCACTTCTTATTGCTTTGAGAAAAGAAGCCTAATATAAGGCTGTTCTCTGACTTGGTTTGATAGGGGACAGGAGGAATCTCAAAGTTTTCCTTGAAACCCCTTAAGATTCCAAATGCAACCTGCATCTCTTCATGTTTTTCAGTGATTCTTTTAACAGAAGTCCTTTTCCAGAAGCCATACTAGTTAAAGGATTACTCCTTGTCCTTCACTACATTTACTCTCCTCATCTTTTACTATTCTCACTGTAAATGAAAGTCATGGGTCTTTGTACCCCTCTTAAAGAAGATAAATACATAAATTACCACCAAAAATATTCCCTGAGTATGTCATGTCAGTTACACAATTAAGCATTTTCTCCTTCTCATGACATGTTTTATTGAGGTATAAATCAGGACTACAAGGCAATCTTGCAGAGACAGGAATTTTAGGGAGGGGGTGCAGATCCCCTGGGTTTGTCTGGAAAATGAGAAACACATTCATAGATGCTACATCTCACTGTGTGCGAAATTCGCAGGAGCTACAGAGCACTCCGTCTAGACTGAGATTTAACTTTCTCATTTAAAACAAGTGAAATAGGACTGTGCTGGATGCAACTGCATAAAAACTTTCTGTGTTGGATTAAGGAGGGTTTTGCAAAGCCCAGTTACACTGAAGAAATTGTGTGGGCAGAATGGAGTGTTGCCAAATCACAAGGAGTAAGCAGGAGCTGAAAGGTAGCAAGTGACTCCCTACATTTAGCAAGGCTGCATGCACTTTCTTCTGTTAAGCAAAAACTTTCCCTTCTTTCCTGCTACTAAAGGCAGGCAGATAGATGCTTATGGCAGACTTTGCTTTCTTCCAGTCAGGACTTACCTGCAGATCCTCCTCATTTCTCTCTAGGAAAGTATAAACTGAGGCCAAATAAGAAACCTAGGCTTGCTTGCATCTGGAGCATGCCTGGGAAGACACAGCAGGATTCAGATGCAGTTCTTTTCTTGCACTTAGGAACTAACCAAAACCACCATTATGTACTTGGGCCTAAGTGCCCACATGGAAAGAGAGAAGGGAAGTCTCTGCTTTGCAGTGCTTCCCAGCAGAGGTGAAGTACACATCTCCTAACCCACCAAACAGGAACCAGATCACTACATCCTCAATTAGTTAATAGAAAGGGGGCAATCACATTTGTCTCACTGTCCACCCATACAGACATCCCCTCCCATAGATCCCCAAGCTCTGTATTTGGGATTCACACACAGAAGCACTAATCCTTGGCTATCCTGCTAGTGCTACAGTGCTTTATTTCTCCAGCCAGCCCTGCACCCAAAGATCTAGGACACTAGTATCCACCTCACCTAACAATGACAACTAGCGTAGGTTGTCCTCCCCACAGTCAGTAGAACTGTATTACACTGAAATAAGCCCTGGAGACAGCTAGCCCTCAACATCTCAGCTAGGCAGGATAAATTTCACCCTTCCTGAGAAATAAAATTTGTAGCTAACACTAGCACCTTCCAAACAACAGCCATCTAAGATCTGCCCACATATCTTTGTGCTTGGATGGCAGTGGGGCAAAGGCAATGTTTTTCCCTCTGTGCACAACCCAACCTCTTTGGCAAAGCCAAGCCCATGCCTGGATTCAGAGGAGCTGTGTAACTAAATTAAATTGTCCTCATTTTGAGTTACAAAGTACAGCTGAAACAAGCTGAAACAAGTCTGCAGGCTCAGATGGCCCCCAAGGAAGTTACATTTGAATCAACTACCTCCCTCTTGACATGCAGCACCTTAAAGCACACAGCATTAATATTTTATCCTTATGAGTCTTCCAGCACTGCCAGCTCACAATACATTATTCTGGAGCACAAGACTAAGAAATACACATTGGTTTCTACAGTGCCCTTCCAGCGCCTAGATTTTGCATGTATCTCAGGATCCTTTTTATTTATAGAAAGCTATACATTTCTTAGTCAGCCTTCAGTGCTTTATCTGCTTCTGCAGTTCAGGCAACAAAGTCAACCCACCTGGTTTGTGCAGGCAGCTGCAGCATCACATGCCTTTCCTGAGGATGTCCTTTCTCAATGTGTCATTGGGGATTTTCACTGCACACACCCCTGATGCTTTGCATTACAGTAAACTGAGCTGCCCTGTGACACTCACCCAGCAAATCATCCCACCCCTGACCTTCTGCACAAGATCCTTGGCTTTCAGCTGAACATGTACACCCTGCCTAATTGTTAGGGTTTCCAAACAGTAGCTAATCAAAGGCTCCCGTCAGCAACAGGTTCTGAATCAAGCTTCAGTAGTATCATCTGACCAAAGACTGGCAAGGGAGGAAGCCCCTTGCCAAGCCAGGAGGGAAACTGAGATTAATAACTGCATTAAAACCCATGAAGATAAGGTGGGAGGGCTGGAAGAAGTCCACGTAAAGAGGGTGAAAGCTGACAAGAGAGCACAGTACCTTTCAATCCTTTGTTTTGTTTTGAACTGTAAAGGTGCTGTAAAATGTATTTATACCTGATTCCCTAGTTTACAAGGAAAGCAAGTTGCCTTAAAGGTTTTAAAAGTGGCCTCAGCTGAGCAGCAGTTCTCCCAGCCTGGATTTGGGGGATTACATCTCACCCCATGAATAATACTTTCATTCATGGGGGCCATAGCATTCCATTTATAACCTCTACCTTGAGTTGACATAGATGGTTTATTTTCCTCCCCATTGAAAGACAGGAGGATGAAGGCCTGAAGTAGCAGCTGCATGAAATACACCAAATTACACAAATGTTGCACACAGAGCTTCAGGTTATTAAAAAATACCACGGAGAAACTTGGGTTTAGTGTCCAGTGAAGCAGTAAGAAAAACAGAGCACCTCATAATGAATCTTGAAATAAGATATTTAGCCCTTGGATTTTTTATAAAAAAACCTCCAGACTGGATTAGAAGTGAAGGCAGAAAATACACAAAAATATGGATAGAGGGGTTTGTATGCTTTCCATTTGTTTTCCATCTGCTGTACAAGCAGTTCATCAACACACATTGGCCATGGTTTACCTAAAGGAATCCTTCAAGATAGCCTGGCCTTGGGAGCAGCTCCTGCATTTGCTGTTCTTCAGTGCAGCAGAAAGGCTTCAGGGACAACTCATAAGTGAGAAGCCCGCCCCTTGACAATCCTCACACAACAGAGTAGCCTCGGGAGCTGCTGGCAGACAAAGCAAAGTGTAGAAAAAAGCCAAAGCCTGCTCTATTTTATTCCTGCATCCAACCCAGTAACTCCTAGACTGCATCCAGGTACAGGTTTTGAGCCAACTTAGTCCTCTCTCTTTTCCAAGTATGACAAAGTGCAAGTGAGGCACATCTCAAGCTCCAGCCTATTGGAGAGTAATAAAAACCAGAGATACAGAGATTTAACTGAAGTTTGGATTATGGATTAATGCATCCTTAACCAAACTGAGAAGGCATCACAGAGTTACAAGGATGAGTGCAGAAGGGAGAGCCTGGAGATGACACATTCATCAGCTGCTGAGTAACCCAGTATTTAAGGGCTGAGCTGTTCCACCTACGGTGATTCCTCATACAATTCTTAATATTAGCTTGCCCAATTAAAAACAGCCTCTAGTAATTATGTTTCACTGTTGTGTAGGGCTACCACAGTGCATATGTGAATGACAAACAGCAGCCTAAGTAAACTCTCTTTGTAGCAATATATAGCAAATTTTGGAT